AAAACTCCAAAAACAGGTCAAGTAGCTCTGGAGAGGCCAGTCATAAATTAGAACACTTGCTAAACACCCGGCCATTAAGTGAGGACCACTTGTATTTGGTTTGCCAGTCACCTGGCCATGCCCACCCAGTCACATGACCAGCAAGCCACACCCACCCAGTCACATGACCAGCAAGCCACACCCACAAATTAGGCCACGCCCACAGAAATTTGAATCCCACCTCTGGGTGGGGGGCACCAAGGATGAGTTTGTAGCACCAAGGGGGCAGTGGATTTAAAAAGTTTGGGAACTACTGATTTAGAGAAATGGAAAAAATTGTGATCTCAAAATTATAAAATGACAATTTCAACAGCTTATAAAGAAAATTTGGATAGGATGTTTTACATTTACCCCCGATGAGAATTGCGAGAATATTTAAGAACAAATCGGATAAATGTTGGAAATGTCATCAGGTACTGGTTCATATTACCATATGTGGTGGACATGTTCAGATACAAAAAGATATTGGACACACATGGTTGGAAAAAATGATAAAACAACACATAGAACTTTAAACCAGCGATATTTGGAAAAATGAAAAAATACCTATGCAGGCGGAAGTGATTAAGAAAATTATGGACTGTGCTGAAATAAAATTGACATTTGAAATTAGAGAACAAAAAGATAAACAATTTTTTATGATATGGGACTTATTTTATCAATGGTTAGATAAAAAGACATGGTAATGAAATAGACTAAGTTTTGTAATAGAAGATCAATAGATTGATATAGAATATAATACAAAATATATAACCATTGGATAAATGTATAATATAAATTTATAATAAAATCTAGAATATCTCGTATAAAATGATGGAATAATAGTTTAGTCAAATGAATGACTAGTAACTGATAAACATATAGGCATAAACCAGACTGACAATTTGAGAACCTATATAACTTGTGAGTAAGGACTATGAAAGGATAGCACAAAAGAATTGTAACCAACTGAAACACTGTATGTATATAATTGGAAGATGGTTTTATGTTTTTTAATGTTTTTGTCTGTATATGTTTGTCTTAAAAAATAAAAATATTTTTTTTAAAAAAAGAAGAGAAGGTCAAAATATGGAAATGCATTCACAATATAGGTAGTCCTGAGTTCTGACCGATCGTTTAGCAACTGATCAAAATTACGACAACCCCTCAAAGCTATTGATAGTGATTCCAAAGTGACTGCATTTAGGGCGCTCAGCAACCGGCCCCCTTTTACTGCAGGGCCATCTGCAGCATCAGAAGGCCATGGGATGGCAATTGAGGAATCTTTTGCTAGAAAGAAGCATTTATTTCCCACTTCTAGAATCACCCAGCCCACAGCAGACCATGAGTTCACTTAACAACCACCATGTTTGTTTAATGACCACCACATTTACTTTACAAATGCAGTTCACTTGTGACTGCTGTAAAAAAGATTGTAAAGTCAGGTCAGTCAGACAATGACCTCTTTTGCCAGCATTGTGACTTATGACTGCAATTGCCAGGCTTGACTACAGTTGCAAGTTGAGGATTCCCTCAGCTATTAAAATTCCATCCACAATTCTTTTCCAGTTACAGCTCCTGAGAGCCTTTCCTCACAACAGAGCCTCCAATTCTGTGGAGTCTCCTAAAAGAGTTGCCCATCCTCCAAAGGAGTCACCACGGCTTGACTGCACTCCCTGCTGCTTGGACTTTACTTCCCACCCTCCCCTTTGTCCCTTTGTCCCTTTGTCCCGTCTCCCAAGTGAACATACTGAACATCTGGGCATGTCTATGGAGGTTCTCAGTCACAGGTCATGGTTGTCCCAGAGGTGCTTTTCAAAAGCTGAACTTTCTTGCTTTTTTCCTTGAAAACATTTGCTTCTCATCCAAGAACCATACTTTCCTTTTGACCAGCAGGTAGCAAATGACCAGCAGGAAACAAGCTTCTTGCCTTGTCTAGCCTGGAGTCCCCCTCTGGGGGACTTATTGGGACTGCAAAGCAAGCCTTGGACTAGATGGATATCGGCAGGGGTGGGATTCTACCGATTCTGCATGGTTCTATAGAACCGGTTGTTATGATTCTGTGCAGTTCAGAGAACCGGCAAATCGCACCATTGGCTGGCCCTCCCCCTCCCCTCCACGCCCAGTCAGTCCTTATCGCACATGCGCAGCATCGCCTGCAGCCTGCTTTTGCCCACCTGCCAGGCCAGCCATTGCTGCATGCCTTCCGCTGTGCCCTGCTGATCTCCCTGGGTGAGTGAGGTTCTGCAAGCTCCAGGGCCGAGTCACCTACCTGCCACTGCCAGTCGTCTTTCCCCCCTACCGCACTTGCCTTTTGCCACTGCCACCCACCACCCTAGCCCCACAGCAGGTAAGGCCCAGCAGCTGCGGTGAATCCAGGCGGGGGGCGAGATGCAGACTGCTGTGGATGCAAGCTAAATTTCACTGTACCGGAGGATATGTGGAGAGGCTCATGTACTCCTGCTGCTGGGAAAGCAAGAGAGTCTTTCCCACCACAGCTCCAGGTAGCAGAGAGAAACAGGATTCAACTAGGCTGCTTCTCTGCTGCCTGGAGCTGCCTGTTTCCCTATTGGAGGGAAACTTGCAAACTTTTCGCTGTGCGGGAAAGACTCTCTTGCTTTCCCAGCAGCAGGAGTACATGAGTCTCTCCACATGTTCTCTGGTACAGTGAAATTTAGCTCGGATTCACCATAGCTACTGGGCCCTAACCCTTGCATGACACTTTGCTGCCCACATGACCCCTTTGCCTGCCACCCCTTCCCTCTCCCGCCCACAGCCCCTTTGTTGGACCCAGAACAATTGCCCTGGTTGGCCCCACCACGCCCACCGGTTGCACCCGCGTCAGCAACAGACGTCATCATTTCAAAGTTGAGGGAGAAGTTGGGGAAGGGGGTGGAGGGTTCTGCAGTGGCCAGCACAAGAGCTTCTCTGTGAGAAGCGGGGAAGTGGCCTTCTAGTGGTCTGACCTGGTGTTCAGGCCGGCGGGCCATGGGAAGTCAGAGCACCAAGGGAAAGGGGGATTGCCAGGAGGAGCTGCCCTCTCTGTGCCTAATTGGGACCATTCGGAGTAGTCCTAGGAATTGGGGGAGCCGAGCTGCCTCTCCTTGCCTTCTTAGCTCAGGGAACGGCCATTTTCTGCAGGAGGAGGACTGCGCAGGGGGGAGGTCTACCTGACTCCTCCAGTGTCTTCGCTGGATTATTTGGACACTTGTAAGCAAGCACAGCTAAAGGCACTGCTGTCGCACATCAGCCCAGGCCTCACCCTGCAGCTCTGTAAAGCCAACACCAAAGAAGTGGCCATTCAGGTGAACCTGCAGTGCAATGCTCACTCGGATCTCAGCCACTCCAGGCCACCCGACCTCAAAGCCCCTCGGGCCGGCCCAGCTGGGAGCCACCACTCCCAGGCTTCTACTCACCTGTACTACGCCACCGCCTCTTCACCTTGCCTGAAGCAGCTGGCCCTGCCCCTCAACCTCCCCTCCCTCGCCTGGCCTGAGAAGGTAAGGGTGATGGTGGGGAATAGCGAAGCGGTCAGGTCCCTATCTTCCCCTCTCTCTCCCCCACTCTGTGTGTCTGTGTGTGTGTCTCTATGTGTGTCTCTCTCTCCCTCAAAGCCGCGGCTGGGCTTTTCTTGGCATTCTTTGCTACTTCTTTCATTTCTTCTTTTTGGAATCCAGACTGGCTGAACAACAATCACCAGCCGCGGTGGAAGCATCTCTTTGGGCAACCATCCTCCTCCTCCTCTCGTGACCAGCGGCTATGGTGGGGCCAGGAGGGTGCACACACGAGAGGAGACGCTCCTCAAGCAAGTGCCAAAGCACAGAAAAACTGGGTGTGGGACAGGCGGCTGATTGCTTGAGGAGGGTCTCCCCGCATGTATGCACCCTCTCAGCCCTGCCACAGCTGCTGGTTGTGAGAAGAGGAGGGGGTTGGGGGGAAGATAGGAGAAGGATCGCCCAAAGGGACACATCCACCGTGGGTGGCGATCATTGTTCAGCCAGTCTGGATTCCAAAAAGAAGAAATGAAAGAAGTAGAAAAGAGCGGCAAGGAAGGCTTGCTGGCTTGGCCCGGCTGCGACTTTGAGAGAGTGAGAGAGAGTGAGACAGACACACACAGACACAGAGTGGGGGAGAGAGAGGGGAAGTGAGAGAGGGGCAGAGAGAGAGAGAGAGATGGGGGGGAGAGAGCCATAGAGAGACAGACAGAAAGGGGGGGGGAGAGAAAGAGAGGGAAAGACAGAGAAAAAGAGAGGGAAAAAGCAAAATAGGGAATGAGAGAGGGAGAGAGAGAGATAAGAAAGAGAAAGAAAGAAAAAATAGAAAGGAAGCAAAGGGAAGAAAAGGGATAGACAAAGAAAGGGAGAGAGGAAGGAACAAAGAAAGAAAAAGAAAGAAAGAGAGGGAGAGAGGAGAAAGTGAAAAAGATATATGGATAGATAAATACATGGGAGGAGGGAGAAAAAAAGGAGAGGAAGGAAGGACACAAACTCTAGCTTTAGAAGACTCTGAAACAGCACAGCAATCTACAGCTGGAAGGGATCTCAGAGGTCATCTTCTAGTCCAACCCCCTGCTCCAGCAGGAGATCCTTACAGAATCATAGAATAGCAGGGTTAAAAGGGAATGTGTGCATGCATGCATGCATTCATGTGTGTGCATAGCTGTCAAAACTCCAAAAACTGGTCAAGTAGCTCTGAGAAGGTCAGTTGTAAATTAGAACACTTGCTAAGCAACCCGCCATTAAGCGAGGACCACTTGTGTTTGGTTTGCCAGTCACCCTGGCCAGGCCCAGCCAGTCACATGACCATCAAGCCATGCCCACCCAAGCCAAGCTTACCCAGACACACGGCCACCAAGCCCCATCCACAAATTAGGCCACGCCCACAGAACTAGTTGTTAAGAAATTTGGATCCCACCACTGCACATTGGGCTAATAGGCCAAGGTGGAATCCCCAAACAAAGTGAATGTAGAGGACTGGCTTACCGAAGGAGACATCCCCAAAATCAAGAGAGGGGACACTGAAATGGAAAGTGGGTCCGATGACGCAGCCCCTGAGGTGAAAAACGGAGAGATTTTTAAAATACAAAGAGAGCAAACCATGCTGCTGCAGCAGAGATCAGCAATGAAGACACCCACTGATTCTGCCAGATGCCCAACAGAGTGAGTTCCATGAAACATTTTACATTCAAGTGTATTTTTTTCTTATCACAAAGAAGAGATGAATCCGCACATGGCTAACAGACCTCACCAGACAGTGCAAATGCCTCTGTGAAAGTTAGTTAACCTTAACAAGGACTCTAGCTGATGTTCTAAATGTTGGGACTTACCGAATCACTAAGGTCACAGGCTGGGGAGATCCATTCACATGGAACTTGAACTCTTCTGAGAAGGGGCCCAGGACAGTAGAGCTGAAAGAAATGTGAATGGCCTGATGGCCCCCCGGTTCAAGGATTCCTTCTCTGGGTTGAAAGGCAAAACAGGCACCCAGCACGGTGGAGGGCCACATCAGGTGGAAGAGGGCATCAATAGCTCCTTGGTTAGATAAGATTGCCTGGCACAGAGAGAAGGTAGAAAGATAAGTGGGGGAAGGAACTTGGCAGTTCAAGAACCAACAGTGGTACCTCTGAGTTACTTCTAAGCTGTGTGAAAAGCCACAGTTCAAAGGTATCCACCTAAACGGGTTCTGACACTGGATTGCATTAGAAATGGCCTGAAGAACTGACCTAGCCAACATTTGTTACTGGTGGCTCTGGCAATACACATCATAGCAACTGGGTCCAGCACCATCATGGGGCATCCTTGAATCCCTACCCATTTATTTTGCAGAATTGCCTCCATCCTGTAAGAGTATTACCTAGGCTTCTTTTCATCATCACCCTCTGGCCTGAGAAATCCCGGAGACCCTTTGCTGAAGGGCAAATGCCCCTCCTGGCCTTCCAAAGCTTATAAAGATCAGATTGCTTCAGACAACATTGAAAGATTTGGTGCTACGTGGGCAAATTTGGGGTTTTATATACATTCTTATTTAGACATTATATATTTTATGCATTTGTACTGATGATATACACTGAGTGCACAATTATTAGACAAGGGAGTATTTTGATCGTATCAGCCTTTGTATGCATATTTTGCACCTCCAAGTTATATAAATTTAAATGCTTAGTGGATGTAAGCAGATCAGGTGATGTGTATTGTATAATGAGGGAAGGTGTGGCCTAAGGAGATCAACACCCTATATCAAAGTGTGCATAATTATCAGGCAGCTTCTTTTCCTCAGGCAAAATTGGCCCAAAAAGAGATTTAACTGATTCTGAAAAATAAAAAAATATATAAAAAGTCTTTCAGAGGGATGCAGCACTCTTGAAATTGCTAAGATTTGGGGGCATGATCACAGAACCATAAAACATTTTGTTGCAAATAGTCAACAGGGTTGCAAGAAACTATTGACAAAAAAACCCCCACATACCTTAACTGCCAAAGATTTGAGAAGAATCAAATATGAACCTACCAGGAACCCATTATCTTCCAGTGCAGTCATATTTCAGAACTGCAACCTACCTGGAGTGCCCAGAAGTACAAGGTGTTCAGTGCTCAGAAATATGGCCAAGGTAAGGGTTAAGGGTTAGGGTTAGGCTGAAATCTGACCACTACTTAGCAAGACACATAAGTTGAAATTGAAAGATTGTTCCAAGAAATATCTGAAGACAGATTTTTTCAAAGATTTTTGGGACTGATGAGACGAGAATGACTCTTGATGAACAAGATGGATGGGCCATGGCTGGATCAGTAACAGGCACTGTTAGATACGGCCGGAATGAAGTCTCAGAGCCAGGGATCCGCAACTCAAGTTTATTCCGGTAAGTACAACTGCTTACTCAACAACCAGTAACGGCTGGTGGGCAACCCTTATATAGCAGGTACCTGCCATGCCGTTACCCAATCACTTCAAAGTGTATTTCCCGTGGTAGTCGTGGTGGGCTATTATGTGTCCGCACCTGCGCAGACATAACAGGCACAGAGCTCCACTTCACTCAGATGCCAACAAGGTAGAGGTGGGGTACTGGTATAGGCTGGTGTTATTAAAGATGAGCTAGTTGCACCTTTTTGGATTGAAGATGGACTCAAAATCAACTCCCAAAATCTACTTTTTAAAAGGGACTGTCAGTTCATGTATCTGACATTTCTTCAATGGAAGAAGAAAAGGTGGGGAGGGGAGACTGATAAAGAAATCCTTCTTGATGTAACCTGAATATATTTAATCTTATATCGAATTTGTATAACCTACACATGATACAATGGAGGGATGAAACCCAGATGGCCAGAACCTATCGCCTCTGAGAGAGACAGCCAGGAGATGAAGAGACCATAAAAATTCCACAGTGGGACTTCCGGTTTGAGCCTCTTCACGGACAGACCAAAAGCATGATCATGCGCGTTTTCGGTCCGTGCTCGCCGCTGGAGCACCCCGAGCCGGCTGGTTTCGGAGCTAAGCCACCCCGTAGAGGTGGTGAAGAGGGGGGAGACTGCCAGCAAGATTGAGGAGAGCCACATCTCTCCTCCTCAGCTGGCCATTACTCCCTTTCCCGAAGGCGTTTGCAGTGGGGGTCAGAAATGGCCACCACAAAGAAGAACTCGACCGGAGAAGAATGTGCAGGAGGAAGATAAGAAGAGAAAGTTTTGGTTGACCGGGTTAAACTGCAAAAGCAACAATTAAGGTACCCTGGAATTTAAACTAAAAAAAAGTAACATTGTTCCCAAAGAAGACTTTGAAGCAGCGAATGAGAGAGAAAAGGGAAAGGATTTGGTTTTTTTTCTTCTCTCCCTTTCCCTATACTGACAGCTAAGAGATTTAAATAAGAAATTAAAAAAAAAATCCACTTTGACATCAATAGGCATTTAAGCTGAAAATAAAATGTCAAAGGGATAATAAAGATTTCTGGATACTTAAAACCTTTTAAAAGCAGGAAAGGAGAGAAAAAGAATAAAAGGGCAGGATCTGGAAAAAAGGGAGGAGACTGCCTGGAATTAAAAGGAATTTACAGTAAAACCTCAACAAGACTTCTAAAAGATACATTTTAACTGAAACTTGGCAACAAAAGAGTAGAACCTCAGGAAGAGAAAGTGAAAAAAGAAACATGAAGAAACAGCTTGGGAGTATTTGGATTATTTGGTGATCTCTGGATTTTTGGTTATTGCATTTGAATGACTAAAATCAATCGGGTGGTTGTTTAAAAGTGTTTAAGATGGCTCCACTTTTAGAAGAACTGAAAATGGAATTTAAAAAGTACAAAGAACATGCACAAGAAGGGAGGCGTTCTTTTGGCTTCGTATTTCAATTCTTAGAAATGGAGATCTGGAACTATGAGAAACAACAAGAAATGCCTGTAGAATAAGAAGATTGGGACAAAGAAGAAGCCATCTTTAATGAACAAGTAATTTTATGTGGGAGAAAAAAAGGAAAGGGGGGAAAGAGAATGAAAACTTTAACATTTGAAAAAACAACCAAGAAAATGAAGAACAGTTTGAAAAATAAGTATACTATTAGAAAGCAACAGAAGAGGGGGAATACAGAAGAGAAAGTTAGAAGTAGATAGACAAGGGGGTAAAAAGGGGAGGGAGAAGAAAAGAGGGAAGAAGGAAAGGAAAAGAAGTTATAAAGGACAGAAACAAGATATGGAGAAACAGGGCCTATTTAGAGATAATGGGTGAAAATTTAATTGAAAAAGGGATTCTGCAAAGGTACATAAGATAGTATTGTTATATTTGAAATAGAAATAATTTTAGAAAATATGAAACAACGTATGATTAAAATGATGGATAAAATAGTTATTGTAATCTAGTGAAATGTTTGTTAATAAATAAAGGAAATAAAACAAATGAGAAAATTGAATTAGGAAAGGATGGGAACATTTTAATTATTTAATGTTTTATAAAATATAAGGGAAGAGAAATAGGGGGAAAAAATTAATTACGGAAAGCTTATAAGTGTTCCCAAGGAAGTATGATATTTAATTGAAAAGAAATGTTAAAGATGTTAAGATTTTAAGGAATATTAATGATAGAACTGAATTGGAATGGAATGAGTGTTTTAATTACATATATTTATAATCACTTTTTAAGAATATAGTGTGTATTTTAAGAATGTACCAAGCAGAATTCCATTGGAAGTTATGTATTATATTGAAGGGGCATTGGTTCCTACCTGATACGCTTCTTCTCGTAGAGCTGCGTAGAGCGTCCAGGATGGGAGGTGCTCCAGTCTCGGCTCTCACAGGCTGAGCTTGAAATTGAGGAACGCCTCTCTCCATCACGTGGTCCTCTCGGCGTTCCCCAGTTTTGCGAAGACGAGAAGGAAGACCCTATTCTCATCCTAACTAAGAATTATTTGTTGGCCGAAACGAGATTCCCCACCAGACGGGTTAATGGGTGGGGCTGGACGCTCTACGCAGCTCTACGAGAAGAAGCGTATCAGGTAGGAACCAACGCCCCTTCTCCATAGAGCTGCTACGAGCGTCCAGGATGGGACATACCAAAGCTTGGCGAGTCCTGCGGGCGGGTTCCCGTCTGGTGTGGAATCTCCCCTGGAACCTCAAGGACCCGCTGAAGGACCCGCCTGCCAAAGGAAGCCTCAGCAGAGGAGAATACATCGATCTTGTAATGTTTGATAAAAGCGGATGGGGATGCCCAGGTGGCAGCCCTGCAGATATCGGTTATTGAGGCTTGGGTGGCCCATGCGGCAGAAGTAGCCGCACTTCTAGTAGAGTGAGCGGTCACTCCAGAAGGGACAGGTAGGGCCTGTGCCTGGTAGGCCTTGGCGATGGCGGCCCTAATCCAACGGCCCACGGTTGTGGGAGTCACTTTGTGGCCGAGGGACGTAGGCTGAAAAGACACAAATAAGGCCTCTGACTTGCGAAATGGTTGGGTGCGCTTGATGTATATTCTTAAAGCGCGCCTTACGTCGAGGGTGTGCCACTGTCTCTCCTCTCTCGAGAGGGTCTGGGGCAGAAGTTCGGGAGGATGAGCTCCTGAGCAATGTGAAATGCTGAGTTGATTTTTGGGAGAAAGGTAGGGTCGGGTCGGAGAACGACTCTATCTGAATGGAAGATACATAGGTCCTGTCTGATGGAAAGGGCTGCCATCTCCGAAATCCGACGAGCGGATGTGATAGCCACAAGAAAAACAGTTTTGAGGGTGAGGAACTGGAGGGAAGCCTCCCTGATGGGTTCAAAGGGGGGCTTGGTAAGAGAGACCAGGACCTTATTAAGGTCCCAGGTGGGAAAACGGTGTATAGTCAGAGGGTGGAGATTGGAAGCTCCCCTGAGAAAGGCCCGGATGATGGGGTGATGGGAGAGGGGACCCCCATTGTCTGAGGAAACAACGATTGCCAGGGCCGCGACCTGACATCTTAGGGTGTTGGTGGACAGACCCTTGTTGAGACCCTCCTGAAGAAATTCCAAAACCTGAGCGATGGAGGGAGAGAGGGGATTGATCTGGAGTTTATGAGCCCAGGTACGAAAGGCAACCCACGTAGCATTGTAGATTCGCGTGGTC